GATTAGAAGAATAACAGTCAAGCACGCCAAATTTTTTCGTATTTCTGAAGGCTATATATATATATTAAAGAATACATATACATTTGTTTGTTTCTTTGATGTCTCCTAGCTAACGTTATTTTGGGGTAATCTCTAGTGATGACCTACCAAACTTGACCACAAAATACATAGGAGTTGTTTTGTGTGAAATGGTGTATGACTTTGTGGTCCACTCACTTGAAGTTGCCAAAAAAAAAAAAGCTCTTTTGTCATTAATGTGTGATACTGATATCTATCTCCCTGCAATTATTAATTAATTTGATTATATTAATCGCAGCATAGACTCACAAGTTCGAAGGCACTGAGAGAAATTTTTTGTATCGATGTACAATTTTACCCCTCATTTATTATTGTATTGACTTTGTTTATATGAGGTATAATGTATATTAAATAAGGATAAAGTTGAAGAGTTATTAAATTTTAAATGAGAGTTAATGAAGTTTCAGGTTTTCCTTGGTCTGTGTGAAACATGCTGGATGTGCCTTATAAATAGGACTAGAAGAATAACAGTCAAGCGTGCCAACTTTTTTGGTATTTCTGAAGACTAGATATATATATATTGACAAATACATATATCTTTGTTTTTTTCTTTGATGTCTCTTAGCTAACGTTATTTTGGGGTAATCTCTAGTGATGACCTACCAAACAAGACCACAAAATACATAGGAGTTGTTTCGTGTGAAATAGTGCATGACTTTGTGGTCCACTCGCTTGAAGTTGCCAAAAAACAAAAAATAAGCTCTTTTGTCATGAATGTGTGATATTGATATCTATCTCCCTGCAATTATTAATTAATTTGATTATATTAATGGCAGCATAGACTTCGAAGTTCGAAGGCACTGAGAGAAATTTTTTGTATGGATGCACAATTTTACCCCTCATTTATTATTGTATTGTCTTTGTTTATATGAGGTATAATGTATATTAAATAGGGATAAAGTTGAAGAGTCATTAAATTTTAAATGGGAGTTAATGAACTTTAAGGTTTTCCTTAGTCTGTGCGAAACATGCTGGATGTGCCTTAGAAATAGGACTAGAAGAATAACAGTCAAGCACGCCAACTTTTTTCATATTTCTGAAGGCTATATATATGTATTAACAAATACATATACATTTGTTTGTTTCTTTGATGTCTCCTAGCTAACGTTATTTTGGGGTAATCTCTAGTGATGACCTACCAAACTTGAACACAAAATACATAGGAGTTTTTGGTGTGAAATGGTGTATGACTTTGTGGTCCACTCACTTGAAGTTGCCAAAAAAAAAAAGCTCTTTTGTCATTAATGTGTGATACTGATATCTATCTCCCTGCAATTATTAATTAATTTGATTATATTAATGGCAGCATAGACTCACAAGTTCGAAGGCACTGAGAGAAATTTTTTGTATAGATGTACAATTTTACCCCTCATTTATTATTGTATTGACTTTGTTTATATGAGGTATAATGTATATTAAATAGGGATAAAGTTGAAGAGTCATTAAATTTTAAATGAGAGTTAATGAAGTTTCAGGTTTTCCTTGGTCTGTGTGAAACATGCTGGATGTGCCTTAGAAATAGGACTAGAAGAATAACAGTCAAGCGCGCCAACTTTTTTGGTATTTCTGAAGACTAGATATATATATTGACAAATACATATATATTTGTTTTTTTCTTTGATGTCTCTTAGCTAACGTTATTTTGGGGTAATCTCTAGTGATGACCTACCAAACTTGACCACAAAATACATAGGAGTTGTTTCGTGTGAAATAGTGCATGACTTTGTGGTCCACTCGCTTGAAGTTGCCAAAAAAAAAAAATAAGCTCTTTTGTCATGAATGTGTGATATTGATATCTATCTCCCTGCAATTATTAATTAATTTGATTATATTAATGGCAGCATAGACTTCGAAGTTCGAAGGCACTGAGAGAAATTTTTTGTATGGATGCACAATTTTACCCCTGATTTATTATTGTATTGACTTTGTTTATATGAGGTATAATGTATATTAAATAGGGATAAAGTTGAAGAGTCATTAAATTTTAAATGGGAGTTAATGAACTTTAAGGTTTTTCTTAGTCTGTGCGAAACATGCTGGATGTGCCTTAGAAATAGGAATAGAAGAATAACAGTCAAGCACGCCAACTTTTTTCGTATTTCTGAAGGCTATATATATGTATTAACAAATACATATACATTTGTTTGTTTCTTTGATGTCTCCTAGCTAACGTTATTTTGGGGTAATCTCTAGTGATGACCTACCAAGACCACAAAATACATAGGAGTTGTTTCGTGTGAAATGGTGCATGACTTTGTGGTCCACTCGCTTGAAGTTGCCAAAAAAAAAAATAAGCTCTTTTGTCATTAATGTGTGATATTGATATCTATCTCCCCGTAATTATTAATTAATTTGATTATATTAATGGCAGCATAGACTTAGATGTTGGAAGGCACTGAGAGAAATTTTTTGTATGGATGTACAATTTTACCCCTCATTTATTATTGTAGTGACTTTGTTTATATGAGGTATAATGTATATTAAATAGGGATAAAGTTGAAGAGTTATTAAATTTTAAATGAGAGTTAATGAAGTTTAAGGTTTTCCTTGATCTGTGTGAAACATGCTGGATGTGCCTTATAAATAGGATTAGAAAAATAACAGTCAAGCGCGCCAACTTTTTTCGTATTTCTGAAGGCTATATATATATTGACAAATACATATATATATTTGTTTGTTTCTTTGATGTCTCCTAGCTAACGTTATTTTGGGGTAATCTCTAGTGATGTCCTACCAAACTTGACCACAAATTACATAGGAGTTGTTTCGTGTGAAATAGTGCATGACTTTGTGGTCCACTTGCTTGAGTTGCCAAAAAACAAAAAATAAGCTCTTTTGTCATTAATGTGTGATATTGATATCTATCTCCCCGCAATTATTAATTAATTTGATTATATTAATGGCAGCATAGACTTAGAAGTTGGAAGGCACTGAGAGAAATTTTTTGTATGGATGTACAATTTTACCCCTCATTTATTATTGTGTTGACTTTGTTTATATGAGGTATAATGTATATTAAATAGACATAAAGTTGAAGTGTCATTAAATTTTAAATGAGAGTTAATAAAGTTTAAGGTTTTCCTTGGTCTGTGTGAAACATACTGGATGTGCCTTATAAATAGGACTAGAAGAATAACAGTCAAGCGCGTCAACTTTTTTCGTATTTCTGAAGACTATATATATTGACAAATACATATATATTTGTTTGTTTCTTTAATGTCTCCTAGCTAACGTTATTTTGGGGTAATCTCTAGTGATGACCTACCAAACTTGACCACAAAATACATAGGAGTTGTTTCGTGTAAAATGGTACATGACTTTGTGGTCCACTCACTTGAAGTTGCCAAAAAAAAAGAAGCTCTTTTGTCATTAATGTGTGATACTGATATCTATCTCCCTGCAATTATTAATTAATTTGATTATATTAATGGGAGCATAGACTTAGAAGTTCGAAGGCACTGAGAGAAATTTTTTGTATGGATGTATAATTTTACCCCTCATTTATTATTGTATTGACTTTGTTTATATGAGGTATAATCTATATTAAATAGGGATAAAGTTAAAGAGTCATTAAATTTTAAATGGGAGTTAATGAAGTTTAAGGTTTTCCTTGGTCTGTATGAAACATGCTTGATGTGCCTTATAAATAGGGCTAGAAGAATAACAGTCAAGCGCGCCAACTTTTTTCGTATTTCTAAAGACTATATATATATATTGACAAATAGATATATAGTTGTTTCTTTCTTTGATGTCTCCTAGCTAACGTTATTTTGGGGTAATCTCTAGTGATGACCTACCAAACTTGACCACAAAATACATAGGAGTTGTTTCGTGTGAAATGGTGCATGACTTTGTGGTCCAATCACTTGAAGTTGCCACAAAAAAAAAAAAGGCCCTTTTGGTCATGGATGTGTGATATTGATATCTATCTCCCCGCTATTATTTATTAATTTGATTATATTAATGGGAGCATAGACTTAGAAGTTCGAAGGCACTGAGAGAAATTTTTTGTATGGATGTACAATTTTACCCCTCATTTATTATTGTATTAACTTTTTTTATATGATGTGTAATGTATATTAAATAGGGATAAAGTTGAAGAGTCATTAAATTTTATATGAGAGTTAATGAAGTTTAAGGTTTTCCTTGGTCTGTGCGAAACATGCTGGATGTGCCTTAGAAATAGGACTAGAAGAATAATAGTCAAGCGCGTCAACTTTTTTCGCATTTCTGAAGGCTATATATATATATATATATATATATATTAACAAATACATATACATTTGTTTGTTTCTTTGATGTCTCCTAGCTAACGTTATTTTGGGGTAATCTCTAGTGATAACCTACCAAACTTGACCACAAAATACATAGGAGTTGTTTCGTGTGAAATGGTGCATGACTTTGTTGTCCACTTACTTGAAGTTGCCAAGAAAAAAAAAAGGTCTTTTGTTATGAATGTGCGATATTGATACCTATCTCCCCACAATTATTAATTAATTTGATTATATTAATGGCAGCATAGACTTAGAGGTTTGAAGTCACAATTTAGGAGCTGTTTGCCTGTTTAGGACTTAAAATAATCACTTTTATTTTTTTAAAACGAATAATCACTTTTATATTTTATCAGATAAAATTATTCTCACATATTTATTTTATATCAAAAAACTATTGTTTCAAGCTAATCTAGCACTGCACCTTAGTTTTTAATATATAATGTTTTTTTGATAAACCATTATTATGTAATTATTATTAATTAAAACTTATAATTTAGAAAGGGGACGTGTGGGACTTATCACGAAAGATGTCCTTTTCCAACTGCGCAATTTGTTTGATTTGGAATCAAAGAAGTATAAAACGTCGTGTATGTTAATTCCTGGATGCAGAATACTTGAGATTTTGATAAGTCTGATATGCTACACATAATGGGAAGACCTTCTTCTTTTGTTTTCCTCTTCTTACTCCATTCCTTCATGGCCTCCTTAGCTTGGAGTGATACAAATATCACTACCGACAAATCTGCACTTCTTGTCTTTAAATCCTTTATCACTTCAGATCCACACAATTTCTTAGCTAATTGGTCTGTCTCTTCTTCTCCATGCAGTTGGATTGGTATCACATGCAATACTCGTCACGGAAGAGTCCATTCCTTGAATCTTGGTGGCATGGATCTTAAGGGTACCATATCTCCACAACTAGGAAATCTCTCATTCCTTGTTGAACTTGACCTCAGTGACAACGATTTTCATCATCAAATACCAAACGAGCTAGTTAAATTGCGTAGATTGGAACTACTCAATTTGAGCTGCAATGACTTTCATGGGCAAGTTCCAACAGGGATAGGAGGTTTATCTTCACTTGAGAAACTAAATCTTCGAAATAATAGTCTTAATGGAATTATTCCACCATCTCTATTCAATCTGACAATGTTAGAGACATTGGATTGGAATTTTAATTACATTGAAGGGACCTTTCTGCTTGAGGTGGGAAGACTTGAGAAATTGACCATTTTACGTCTTGCGGGTAACAAGCTTTCAGGAAATATTCCCCGAACAATTTCCAACTTATCTTCACTTGAGTTATTGAGTTTGTCTTATAACAATTTGTCAGGTATGTCTTTAATTATTTCTAATATTTATATTTGTTTTTTTTTTACAGTAGCGTACTTTGTTAGCATAATCTTATCCTAGTTCTCTTGATTGTTTTTAATTTTTAATTTTTTTTTGTTATTTTTATGAATTTTTTTAATTTTGCCAACATTTTTCTATTATTTTTTAAAGCGAAAAAAACCATTCATCATCAGAATCATGAAACGGTTTATACAGTCACACCACGAGTGTAATAACATATCTAATAATGGGCTTGTCATAAGTTTTTGAAAATATGTGCTTATTATTCTGTCATTAAAAATTTTAAAGGGTTTTTTCAAGTTGAGTAAACCTTAGAAAAAAATATTTGGAACATTTAATTTTGAATGGGATAATCTAATTTTTATTTTTATTTTGTTATTTATTAATAATTATTGTTGTTTAAAAAAGTTTTTAGAGTTAATAGAAATAATTTTTCTGGGAGTCTCCCAAAAAACGGGTTTTAATAGGAATGATGAAAAGGAAGGACCGATTGGATTTCAATATATTTCTTAATCATTTAGAATATATTTTTGTTATTTTTCAAAAAATGTGCAACTCTTACTGTATTTTAATATATATATTATATATATATATATTGTCTCATGTACATAATAACTTGTCACACGTAAAAAAAAAAAAAAACAGCATTGTTATTGAGATCGGAAATCTTTCTCAACTAAAATTATTGTATCTCATCTTTACGAAGAGTAAAATACAGTATATATGGGAATCAGCTTGGTGATTTAATTACGTGGTTGCATTAAATTATATTCCAATCTTTCATAAGATATTGCTGAATAATGATTTTGCTAAATTGCTTTTAAAGACATGGAATATGATGCTTTCTTTCAATCACAAAGTGAATATGAATAAAATTAAAATGGTATACTTTTCAGAATCTATGAGTACCATGTGTGCTGATGCGTCTAATACTGTGCTTTTTTTTTTTTAACTCTTTGGAATAGAAATAAATTTGAACTCTGATTTGCTTCCCATCCCTTAGTTCATATTATAAGTTTCACACACATGTAAATGTGAGGTCATAAGTTGCTTTAAAAGTCTCTAAAAAATATTGGATCTAAAAAACATGGAAAATAACGTGACAAGGATGATGACAAATTTTCTTAAATCTCCCATCGATTGTTTTTTATTTTTTTATATATTTTTGTGCATTTCTTTTTGTTTTCCAGCATTTTTCTCTTCTATTTTAAATAAAAAAATTGTCAACCAATTTTTAAAATGGATAGTGAAGTCATAAACCATGGGCAAAAGAATATTGTTATAAATTTACAATATCAGTCCAAACGGATCTAAAAGCTCATAATCAGTCTTCGAAAATAAATGTTTATTATTTCGTTATTAAAAATTTTCTGAAGTATTTTTTTGGCCAAAAATGAGTAAGCCTAGCAAAAAGCATATTCGGAACATTTAATTTTTATTTAAACAATCTAAATTGTATATTAATTTTATTTTTTAAAAATTGTGTAGTTAACAAAAAAAGTTTTTTCTAGGAGTCTCATGATGGAAAGTATGGGCCAATTGAATTTCGATGTGTGTCTTAGTTTTTTTCCTTAATCACAGTTAATCGAAGAAACTCATAATCTTATCTTTGAAGTGAGGTGAATACGGCTTATATGGCATATAGGAATTTATCAGAATTAATGTGCAATGGGCCTTGTGGAATGACCCAATATAGTCATCGATTTTTTTCCCCAATGAGTCACGAAATAAACTTGAACTGAGATTTTGTTCTCCGTCATTTAGTTCATGCCAGAAGTTTCACACACATGTAAAGGTGGGGTCATAACTCGCTTAAAATTAAAATCTTCAAAAATCGGTAAAATATCGAATCATTAAACAGGAAGCCCCATAAAAAATAACCTGACAAGGATGACAAAAAGGGTTGGCTGGGATTTCAATGTTTTTTCCAGCTTCTAATTTTTCATTTTCCCCTATATTTTCTTCTTAATTGCAAATTTTTTAAGTTTTTCTTGTTTAATATAGAGACAATCCATTTGAATTTGTCAGAGCGAGTCTCACATTGATCCAAGAAAAAAACCAACATGCTGAAAAATAATTTATATATATATCATTCAAGGATGGCGGCTCTTTTAAAATGATTAAGATGATGATTCAATGCTCTGAAAATGATTTTAGATAAATAATCTTAGCAGTATTAACAAATTAGCTCAACCTCCATACTTAGGGTCACAACACGACATTAAAACTTTCATTAATGATATCTTATCTCTTTATTGGGTCTTTAGTAATTAGCTGTTTGTACATATTTAGGGATATTTTTAAATCCAACTAATTTTTTTTTATAATTCTGCAATGCGAAACATGAAAAAAAAAATCTAGTGTTTGTTTGTTCTCTTGTTAATTGGATAGAGACAAACGTTATCCTACTAATAAATCTGTACTTTTTACTATTAAATCTTCTATCACTTTGGATCCATATAATTCCTTAGCTCATCTGTCTTTTAACAGTTTGTTAGGTATTTTTAGAGAAATTCTGGCTTGTATCAATTGTTTTTTTTTTAATTTTTTAATATTCTTATGCATTTCTTCTAATTTTTTTCAGAATTTTTTCATCCTTTTTTTAATTGAAAATTCGTCATCCAATTTTTAAAATGGTTGGGAAAAGAATATTAGTCCAAAAGGATCTAAAGGCTTATCATCAATATTTGAAAATAAATGTAGTCATTAAAGTTTCTAAAGGATTCAATTTTTTTCAAAATAAGTCTGTCTTGTCTTAGAAGAAACATACTCGGAACATTTAATTTTGTTTTGGATAATCTAAATGAATAATTTTATTTTTTAAAAAATTTTATAGTTTGCAAGAACTATTTTTCTGGGAGTCTCATGATGAAAAACAAGGGTCAATGGGATTTTGATGTGTCTCTTAGTTTGTTTTCTTAATTTTTATTGGAGGAACTCAATATGAATTAATGAATCCAACAAATCCGAAAAGATAACAAAATGAAGGGAAGTAACAAACACAGTGTAATGGGCCTTGTGGAATAGCCCATTATTTTTTCTGACATTAAGCCATCCAAATTTCTCAACAAATCACATGTCCAAATTATTTGGTCTATGGTCAATGGCCCAGCCAAATAGAAAGGGTTATTCTTTTTTATAAATAATAATTGTAGTTGTGGTTTATCATTTAGAATCAATTTGTGTTATTTCTAAAAAATGTGCAAGTTTTACTATATGTGTTTTTTTAAAAATACAAAATGTCCAATGTGCATAATAACTTATTATAAATAGAAATTGTTACTGATATTATGCTCTTTGTTTCCCCTCTAATATTTGAAGGGAGCATCCCAAGTGAGATTGGGAATCTTTCACAATTGAAGAAATTGTATCTTGGAAATAATCAACTTGTTGGTTCAATACCATCTTCATTATTCAACAATTCAATGCTGCAAGGCTTTGCGCTTGGAATAAATAACTTATCTGGCAGTCTCCCAACAAATTTGTGTGTTGGGCTTCCAAAGCTACAAATATTTTATGTGAATGGAAATGATTTGGATGGCGAAATACCCTCTGCTTGGCATCAATGCACAGAATTATTAGAATTAAAATTGGGGCATAACAAATTCAACAGAGGAAACATACCAACTGGTATTGGAAATCTGACCAAACTTCAGTTGCTATATCTTCACAGCAGCAACCTGCAAGGTAAGAATTTTAATTATTATATGATTGTCTTGAATTTTGATAAGTCACGAATTTGCATTACAAATTTAATGAATAATACTTTTATTAAATTACATCCAAAGATATGGAACTTGATTCTTTCTCTTCATCGCAAAATGAAATATTGAATCATTGAAAAATAAACTAATCAGTATTTGTGACGATCACATTCCTTCTGTTCTTATTTTTCACTTTCTCTTGTGTTATAAACTACATGATTCTTTCTCCTATGAATAATACTTTTATTAAATTACATCTAAAGATATGGAACTTGATTCTTTCTCTTCATCGCAAAATGAAATATTGAATCATTGAAAAATAAACTAATCAATATTTGCGATGATCACATTCCTTCTGTTCTTATTTTTCACTTTCTCCTGTGTTTTCTTGTCTGTGTCGATCACATATGTTCTTATGACATGTAAAGGGAATATATCTTAAAAAATTAAAAAATATTATCTATTAATACTATAGAATGATAGAACATTATAAATAGTATAAAAACGGAATCTTATATGTGATCTTATATATAATATGCTTGTTCTATAATGTTTGCAAAATGTTTTAGCTGAAATTGCTTTAAGAGTGATGAAGATTCTAGTATACATGATATGTTTTACACAATCCATTTTTCTTAACTAATTTACATCAGGAAAAGTTATGCCGTTGCACACAGGGTTTAAAAAACTTAAATGCAAAATATAAATAATTTGTTGTTCCTTTAAAATTGGTGAAATTAATTCCATTATCTGCCTCTAGCATTTCTTCTTTACAAGAAATTTTAATTTCGAATTATTTGATATTAGAAAAGTCCCTTTTAAATTGCTTTCCAATAAAAACTAAATTATTTCCTAATAATTTTAAGCCTCTAATTAACACAACTCCATGCATATCCATAATGAGGTTTAAATATAAATAATAATTTACAGTCACAAAATATTAAAAGATCAAATTATGAACTGATAGTAGCCTATTATTTTGGTTTTGGTTGAAGATAGTAGCCTATTATTTTTAAGGCAAGTTCTCGACTTGTTTTTAGACATGCCAGAGTTAGTAATATATGAAAATTTTTCTATGGTAGGACAAGTTTAATACTAAAAACAGAAAAGCTTGCAGTTGTGTTTTTTCTTATTTATTAGTAGTACAATAAACATTTATTTAAATAAACTAAGTAGAAAATATCAATTGTGAATAATTATAAAGAATTCAATTTAAAAAATTTAAAAACAATAATAATTCAATAAACACAAGTTCAACCGTAGTTGAGCTCAAACTAGCTGAGAAAAAAAGCTCATAAAAAAAAGAGCATATAAGATGTTTTAAATAGTCTGACAAATAATTAAATTGTTTTATTTTAAGTCATTCATGCTGAAGTGGAAGTATTCAGTACATTCAATTCTTTATAAAATTAAATAAAGCTTTTCACAAAAAAAAAAACTTTCCACTAATAGTTTCTTAATAATTTTTTTAATTTGAAATTTAAAAGAAGTATGAAAAATCAACATGAGGGGGAAAGTAGGTGGAATTACACCCAAAAAAAAATGTGGACTCATTAAACATTATGTGGAACTTTTTTGTTTAGAATTTCTCACTAAAACTGCACACACAAAAAAAATCCTTCATGCAGAGATAAATTGCTGAAAAGTATTCTAATGTCTTATGCCATACATGATTAGTTGGCAATGCATAAAAATTATAGTTAAACTTAATGCACTCATTTGCAATATTAAAAGGAAAGAAATTTGATGGTTAGAGGAAATTTGCATTCTCCCTTTTTGATATTTATGAAGTTTCTCTTTTATTTAATATATTATATGCAAACAATATTACAATGCCAAATAAAAAAAAGGTAAGGTCATGGACTGATGGCACCACTTGATATCTAAAACATCATTTATATACTCTGATCAATAAAATGGCTCCAGGAATCATTTCTTCGTTACAACAGTTTGCAAGGTTATAGTTTTAATTATATGATTTGTCTTAGACCGTGTTGTGTGTTTTTGTTTTTGATCTCTCAAATGAAAAATAATTTTAAAATGAGATTCTACTTTTCAATTTTTTTTCATTCATAACAGAAATCTTTGGAAAGAGAAATAAAATATAATTTGGATCATTAAAAAAAAAATTGGGGAAGCCCTGTAAGAACTGGTCTGGAAAAACTTTGTGGACTATCAATATATGATATGGTGTAATAATCTTAGGGGTACCTCCCAATTTTTACCCACAAAAATGTCTTTAAAAAGAAAAATAAAATTTAATTTTGGATCAGTAGAATAAGTATGTGTTCGCTATCAACATAATGTTTGTTTTTATTTGACCAAAAGAATTGTACTTGAAAAGATTTCCTAATACTTCCAATTCTCTCGTCAACATACACATAACTCGTATCTTATCCGCTTTTAAATTGAAACAGGTGAAATTATATCCTTAATTTTATACTTTATCTTCAAAATGTGTAGCTAAAAATATTTAAATTCCTTAAAGAAAAACTAAAATTTCTGCCCTTTTTTTGCCTATGATGAATTCATCCTCAGATTTTAAAGTTAGAGCCTTTTTAAAGACTTTGGATGTTCATTTTACAGTTAGATAAGATTAATTTCATAGTCTCTGATGTGCAGCAATTGGCCATTACTATTGAAAGAGTCCCCTTTAAACTACGGTCCAACAAAATTAAATTATTTTATATTAACTTTAAGCATCTAATTACTAAAATTCCATGTATTATTTATTTGCTTGTGTACGTGTGAATTTATTAGGAACATCCTTGCCATACTATCAACTAATGAACAAATATTTTGTATTTATTTATAGGCGAAATTCCTTCATTTCTTTGGAACATGCCATCATTAAAACATATTAACCTTGACGACAATCATTTAAGGGGTGATTTGTCTGAAGAAATATGTCATCAACTCCCTTTACTTGAAGTCTTTAGTGTTGCTCGTAATCAATTAGAGGGAAGCATTCCACAATCAATAAGTAACTGCACATCTTTGAAAGGATTATATTTGGGTCCTAACTCATTTACAGGTATGTACTTACTTGTGTGTTTTCTTTTCTTTTTAATATTTTTCTCTCAAATGAGATTTTGTTTTTCTCTAAAATCCCAATCATGGACGTCGTGAAATTTGCAACATAGAAAAATGAAATCCTCTCATGTGCTATTTGATGACAAAACTCCAAACCATCCAATGATGTTTTATCAAGAATTTTTTTCTGTCTTTTAATTACTTTAATTTTAATTTTTTTCCCCTCTTATCTTAATATTTAAATAATATTAAAATACAGATAAGTTTGGGGTTGGCTTTACTTATTCATTATATATATAAATTGTAACAATTCAACATAAATTATAATATTTTAAAAAATTACAACGTACTAATTAAAAAATATACAATAAACAAAAAAATTATTTAGATATGTATAAAAGATCAATTACAAATTATACAACAAATGAAACTCATAAAATGCTTGTTCATCCAAATTTAAATGCAACATACATACCTATTATATGCCAGTACCTTTTTAAGATTTTATCTGTTTCCTAACAACTTTAATTTTATATTTTTTTTATCTGTTATGCTTCTTTTTCAATTTCTTGTTTTTCAAATTCATTAATTTCAAATTAAACACTTATTCAATAATTACAGTATAAAAACTTTTATTTTTCAAAAGCAATACTAGTCATTTCACCTTGAGTGTAATTTATAATTTTCTTATTTTTTTTCATTTCTTGAAATACTTTTTATGACCTGTTTTATTTTTATTCTTACAAGTCCTTTCAATTCAATCTTTTTCACAAGCAGTTATTGCTAAGCGATTATATTTGGATGTCAAGCTCTTCATAATCAATGAAATTATTATATCTTACTTTTATTCTTTTGTTTTTTAGTCATTTTGTTTAATAGGATAAATTTAAAATGAGATTTTGTTTTCTATCATTTTATTAATATTGTATCTACATATACATAGTCATTACGGGGTTTAAATATAATGGTAATCTACAATCCCAAAATATTAAAAGATCAAATTATGAATTGATGGTAGCCTATAATTTTTATCGTACACCATAAAATTATTTTCAAAACTTTAATCCAAATATCCCCAAAACAAAAATGAAATTTTATTTTTGGTCATTTCATTCATTTATACAAGAAAAAATGGCAAATAAAGACTCCCAATATGTGAAATTGTGATTTGAGACCCTTAATTTGGAAATGGCAAATAAAGACTCGATCTCATATTGCAAATATGAAATCTTGGTAACATGTCTAAAATGCCCCTCAGTCAAATGACTAGTTGACTATGAAAAATGATGAGTTTACTTTAGCAAATGACAACTTTAGCAAATCAAATCACAACTTGGCTGAGAGTATGCCAAATGACAAGTTTATTTTAGCGAATGACAATTTCAATAGACCAAATCACAATTTGGCTGAGGGGCATTTCAGAAATTTCACCAAGATTTCATATTTGCAATATGAAATCGGGTTTTTATTTGCCGTTTTCTAAATTAAGGGTCCCAAATCATAATTTCACATATTAGGGGTCTTTATTTGCTATTTGCCCTTTATTAATCCAAAAATAACGGAAAGATAGGATCATGACTTCATCACCTGAGCTGATGGGCCCACTACGATAACAGAATTTCTTAAGTACTCAGTGTATAATGTGCCCGCTTGCCCACATGTAATTTTTTATTTTTCAAATTTATTAATTTCAAATTATGTCATCTCAGGAATAATTTATGATTTTGATAATTTTTTATTTTAAAATTTTTTAAAAGAGTTGAAATTAATGTAAAGAATAATTTTTCTTTTGTATTTTACTCTTCCGAATCGAAATGAGTATTACTTGAAATTCTTTTGTTATATTTAAGGCAAGTTCTCGACTTATTTGTAGGATGGGATAAGTTTAATACTAAAAACAGAAAAGTTTGCAGGTGCGTTTTTCCTTATTTATTACAATAAACAAGAAATTTGTTTAAATAAAATAATTATAAAATATCAATTGTGAATAAGTATAAAGGGGAATTATTTAGGGCGTTCAATTGATAATAATTATCTTCAACATAAAACCCTCCACTAATAACTTCTTAATCATTATTTTATTTTAAAATTAAAAGAAGTATGAAAAATCAACATGAGGGAGAAAGCATGGGAGATTACATAAAAAAATGTCGATTCATTAAACATTATTGTGGAACTTTTTTGTTCAGCAAAGTTTACTTAATAATTTCTCACTGAAACTGCACAAAACAAATTCCTTCATCAGAGATAAATTGCTGAAAGAGTAGTCTAATGCTTTATGCCATACATAATTAATTAGCAATGCATAAAAGTTATACAATAAACTTAATGTACTCATTTGCAATATTAAAAGGTAAGAAATTTGATGGTTAGAGGAAATTTGCCTTTTTCCTTTTTAATATTTATGCATGGATCAATAGTATAGCACACATATTCAAGTTTTTGAAATTAGTACGTAAGACACGTGAAGTTTATTTATTATTTGTGTATATTATATGCAAACAATATTACAATGCCAAAATAAAGAAAAGGTAAGATCATGGACTGATGGGACCACTTGCTATATTTAAAATGTGAAAAAACAATTTTTTTTAAATTTTAGTCTTAATCTACCACATCATTTGTATACTTTGATCAATAAAATGGCTTCATATGTACTTTGTCCAGGAATCCTTCCAAGTGAGATTGGAAATTTGACAAACCTCGAAATTCTTGTTCTTCACTTCAACAATTTGCAAGGTAATAGTTTTAGTTATATGATTGTCTTAGATCGTGTGTGTATGTGTCTTTGTTTTTGTTTTTGTTTTCATCTCTTAAATAAAAAATAATTTTAAAACGAGATTTTGCTTTTCATTTCTTTCATTCATGTTAAAGAATCATGAGAAGCTTACTAAAGATTTTGTATTCATAATAGAAATCCTTGAAAAGAGAAATAAAATATAATTTTAGATCATTAAAAAAATTAGAGAAGCCCTATAAAAACTGGTCTGAAAAACTTTGTGGACTATCAGTATGTGATGTGGTATAGTAATTAATTTTTGCCCCAGCAAAAATGTCTTTAAAAAGAGAAATAAAATTTAATTTTGGATCATAGAATAAGTATGTGTTGGCTATCAATATAATGCTTGTTTCTATTTGATGATAGGACTTGTACTTGAAAAGATTTCATAATATTTCTAATTCTCTCATCAACATTTACATAACTCTCGTATCTTATCTACTTTTATATTAAAATGGGTAAAATTTCATCTTTAATTTTATGCTTTATCTCCAAAATTTGTAACTAAAAGTATTTTAATTCCTTAAAGAAAAACTAAAATTTCAGCCCTTTTTTTTGCCTATGATGAATTCGTCCTCACATCTTAAAGTTAGAGCCTTTTTAAATAGTTCAATAACTATAATACAAAATATAAATAATTTGGATGTTCATTCTAGATTAGGTGAGATTAATTCTATAGTCTCTGATCTTCAGCAATTCTTCTTTGAAAGAAATTTAACATCTAATTGGTCATTAATATTGGAAGAGTCCCTTTAAACTATGGTCCAACAAAATATAAATTATTTTCTATTAATTTTAAGCATCTAATTGCCAAAATTCCTTGTATTATTTATATGCTTGTGTACGGACGGATTTATTAGGAACATGCTTGCCATGCTACCTAGTAATTAACAAATATTTTGTATTTATTTATAGGCGAAATTCCTTCATTTCTTTGGAATATGCCGTCATTAAAACGTATTAGCCTTGGCATCAATCATTTAAAGGGTAATTTGTCTGAAGAAATGTGTAATCAACTCCCTTTACTTGAAGTCTTTGGTGTTGTTGTTAATCAATTAGAGGGAAGCATTCCACAATCAATAAGCAACTGCACATCTTTGAAAAAATTATATTTGGCTGGTAACTCATTTACAGGTATGCACTTACTTGAGTGTTTTCTTTCCTTTTTAATATGTTTCTCTAAAATGAGATATTATTTTTCTCGATAATCGCAATCACGAATAGATGGATGTCGTGAAATTTGTAACAAAGAAAAACAAAATCCTCACATATACTCTTTGATGACAACACTCCGAACCATACGATACTTTTTTATCAAAATTTTTTCTGTTTCTTAATTACTTTAATTTTATTTTTTTCTCATCTTAATATTTAAATAATATTAAAATACAGATGTGTTTGGAATTGTTTTTACTTATTTATTATGTATATATAAGTTGCAACAATTCAACATTTTTTAATTAAAATTATAATATTTTTTACAAATTACAACGCAATAATTAAAAAATGTACAATAAACAAAAATTATTTAGATATGTATAGAAGATCAATTACAATTACAAATTATACAATAACTGCAACTCATAAAATGCTTGTTCAACCAAATTTAAATGCAACATACGTACTTATTATACGCCAGTACTTTTTTTTAGATTTTATCTGTTTCCTAACAAATTTAATTTCGCATTTTTTTCCTCTCTATTTTAGAGTACATTTTTTCATCAGTTATGCTTCTTTTTCAATTTTTTTATTTTTCAAAAGAAATACTGGTCATTTCACCTTAACTATAATTCATGATTTTCTTAATTTTTTTTAATTTCCAAATTTTTACGAAGACCTAAACAAAGACAAGTAATTTCTCGGTACATTTTATAATTTCTAATATTTGTAAGACGCATAGTTTTATTTGTTATAATACGCACACAAACATATATCATGTGTACTATATGCAAGTAACGTTAACTGTTTTATTTTTCTTCTCATAAATTTGAAATGAGATTTTTCTTTTTCATCGTTTCATTAATATTGCCCATATTCTTAGTGGGGGCTTGAATATAGCTATTATCTCAAAATACCAAAAGATCAAATCATGAATTGATGGGAGTTTATGGTTTTCTTATTTTTCCCCTTGGTGGGGTAAAACTAAAATGAGATTTTATTTTTCTCCATTTTTCTCTGCCCTCAATTAAAGAATACATCATTTCCCTCTTTAATTTTCTTTCCTCAATTTTCAATTGTTTCTTTTCTGTATCAGAAATTTATTAATTTTCTATTAAATAGTTATTCAAAAATTACATCTTAAAATTAGACTTTAACTTTCAAACAATTCTTCTATAAACTATGGCATCTTAACTAAGGGTAGTTTATATGATTTCCATAATTTTTACTTCAAAAATGTTATAAAGGCTTAAAAGGGAATAAAAATAAATTTATTTGTATGTATTCTTATCTTAACTATATACAAGTCATGATCTCTATCAATTTTTGTGCGCAGGTTTTATACCCAAAGGGATAGGCAAACTTGATAAACTTAATGTCTTAGGCTTGGACTCTAATTATTTGCAAGGACCTATTCCTTCAAATATATTCAATATTTCGACATTGAGAATCTTAAGCCTTGGCGGTAATTCCCTCTCCGGCCTTCTCCCGTCATATTTAGGAATTGACCTTCCCAACCTGGAGACCTTATCGCTGGATGCAAATGATCTAATTGGACAAATTCCAAACAGCATATCAAATGCTTCTAAGCTCATTGAGTTAGATTTGTCATTGAATAAGTTTAGCGGAGCTATACCCCATCAAGTTGGAAATTTAAAAAATTTGATCAATTTAGCTTTGCATGGGAATAATTTGACTGGGTTGATTCCAAATGCAATTAGTAAATTACATAGTCTTCAACGTTTAAGTCTCAACAACAATAGATTGCAAGGGTCCATTATAAATGACTTTTGTCAACTAGAAAGGCTAAGTGAGTTGAATCTTGCAAACAATATGTTTACGGGGGCAATTCCAGAATGTTTTGGGAATACTTCTTTGCGACAGTTGAATTTTAGCTTTAACAAATTGATTTCTCATATACCATCTTCTCTTTGGAGTCTCAAAGATATTTTGGTTTTAGACATATCTTCCAATGCATTGAGTGGAATAATTTCACCAGAGATATCAAACTTGAGGGCAATTATACTATTGAATTTGTCAAGAAACCAAATTTTAGGAAGCATCCCTGCAACTATGGGTGAGTTGACAACTTTGCAAGACCTAGCTTTGGCTCACAACAAATTACAAGGGCCTATACCTAGATGGCTAAGTGGCATGATAAGTATTGAGTCAATAGATCTTTCTCATAATTACTTGTGTGGTATGATACCAAAGTCCTTAGAGTCACTACACTATCTTAAATCTATTGATCTTTCATACAATTTATTGAATGGAGAAATTCCAAATGGTGGTCCTTTTCAAAATTTTACTGCTCAATCTTTTATGATGAATAAAGATCTTTGTGGAAAACCCCAACTACAAGTCCGACCGTGTAGGAGAGGAAAGAAGCACATATCAAATAAAGTAATGTTGGTGATAAAATGCTCAATGCCTATCCTGGTTGTCATTTTGGTTTTTATAGGTATTGTCTCTCTAAAGCATAACAGAGATGATGCTAACTATGCAACCAATAGGGATTTAACAAATTTGGATGCACCAACTAGGATATCCTATTATGACCTTCTACAAGGAACAAATGGATTTGATGAGGGTAATCTTCTTGGCTCTGGGAGTTTTGGATCAATATATAAAGCAATTCTTCCAAATGAAAAGATAGTTGCTGTCAAAGTATTTGACATAGACATGGAAGAAGCATCGAGAAGTTTTGATATTGAATGTGCTGCTATGTGCAATTTGCGACATCACAATCTTATTAAGATTATCAGTAGTTGCTCTAATGATGATTTCAAGTCTCTAATCATGGAATTCATGTCAAATGGAAGTCTTCATAGATGGTTGTACTCTCATAACTACTGTTTAGATATCCTGCAAAGGTTGAATATAATGGTTGATGTGGCAGCTGCATTAGAGTATCTTCATCATGGTACTTTAACTCCAATTGTTCATTGTGACATAAAACCAAGTAATATTTTGTTGGATGAAGACATGGTGGCTCATCTAAGTGATTTTGGTATAGCTAAACTATTAAGTGAAGAACAGTTGGAAATTCATACAAAAACATTGGCTACAGTTGGCTATATGGCACCAGGTAATAATTTAGTAATAATGTTTTAGTTCAATAATGTTGTTTTTTTTAATTATTCTATGCAAAATTTTATATTATCCAATCATTGATATATATTTTCTGTTCCTGTATGTGAAGATTTATATTAGCTATATACAAAAAAAAGTTCAACATTAAACCTTATATTCTCTTTTGAAATATAGAGTATGGATCAAAAGGAGTGGTTTCTTTCAAAGGAGATGTGTATAGCTATGGCATTGTTCTAATGGAGATGTTTACGAGGAAGAAGCCAACCGACGAAATGTTTGTTGAAGGCCTTGGTTTAAAAGATTGGGTTAGCAAGTCAACACGACATTCAATCATCAATATTCTAGATGTCAATTTGCTGCATCAAGGAAATCCAAATATCAGCAATATATTACCACATATATCATCAATTTTTGATTTGGCATTAAGTTGTTGCACCGAATTACCTGAGGCTCGAATTACGATGACTGATGTTGTAGTCTCATTAAAAAAGATAAGGTCATATTTACGTAAAATACTAGAGACGTGCCACTAGTTAAATAATCTCTGTGTTGAAGTTTTAGTTACTGTTTCCTTTATCTTTTGATTTATTTTGTCTATAAGACATGTCGTATGTTAAAATGGCGATTATTTATATGTTTGTTATATTAATATATAAAGGCTCTACCTTTTTCATGTCTTGAATAATTTTCCTTTTTCTTCCATTTTTTCCATTGCAAATGTATTTAGCTATTCAAATTGTATTTGATTCATTTGTTTTTGAACGTTGAGAAATGAAAAAAGCATTAACATGAATTAAATTAAACATGGTGATCTGAAATGATAATACAAATGAGGAAGAGTCTAATTGAAACTATTGTGCGGTCTTATAAAAAAGACAAAAATTTTCTTTTAGAAGAGATCTTATTAAGAAGCAAAAGGAGTAATTATATTGTTGTTGTTGTGTTTTGTTAAATTTATTCTGTATATCTAATATTAATATGTGTTCGCTTTTTTTTTTTTCTGGCATCCTTATACTCCTCATAAAAAGTCGAAACTCACAATTTTACATCTAGAAAGGTTTTGAAGGTGTTTAGCTGCAAATGACCCAACTATTTGCGTTTTATTGTATGATACGAAAATAAAAAAATCACAAGCATACAATTTTTTTGCTAACCTAAAAGCATGTGTTTGGATTGGTGTTAAAACCAGCAAACATGCCTTGGGCAATGTGAAATGTCAATTGACTTGTTTGGTTAACTTTTTCTCTAATGAGCTTTTGGCAAAAAAGCCAATGTCTTGTTTGATAGCATGGAAGTGAGGAGGTGAGAAGTGGAATTGGAAGTGAAACCCAAAATTTAGTTGTTTGGTGTGGTGGAAGACACTTCCATGAAACTCTCAGTTGCACCAAAATCGTTGGAATTTAATTCTCTGCTCAGCCCTGAGAACCCACTTCCACTTCTCATGGAACTGGGTCTCTGACAATTTTGCCCCATACCCATTCCTCTCTTTGTTTGGTAGCCACCATGCCAGCAACCACAACCTCCACTAGCATGACGGCCGACGGCTCTGACCTCGACGAGCATGATGACGGACGCGACGACTCCGATGAGCACCATGGTGGACAACGTCTCCTTAGCCAAGGCTCTTGGATTCCTCAAAGCCCAGCAATGTTCCAACCAATGTTAGATCTGGAGCACAGCGACCCAGATTTGTGACTCAAAGCCTGCGGTGGGGCAACTAATGTGGATGAAGAAGAAAAAAAGAGAGTAAGGTGAAGTCGGTTCATAGGTTTCATCAGAAAAATAACTCAGATCTCCAACTTCACTTTTGCGAAGGAGCTGTGCTCATTCTCTCAACTTTTTCCTACCAAATCAAAGCCCCCAGTTTCCACCTCTCATCTATGGCGACCCAGACTCCATCTCTCATCCATGGCGACCCAGACTCCATCTCTCATCCATGGTGACTATTCTCTATCTCTTATCCATGACTTTGATTGAGATTAATTGAGATTTTATTGATGAATTATTTTTTTCCCCTTCAAGTTGATTGTTGCTAGTTTGATTTGACTAATGGAGGATTTTGTGATGTTGGTTTGCATGGGTCGGTTGTCGTTACAAGGGAAGGGGAAGAGGTGTTTTTTTATTTTTATGAGGGGTATTTTAGTATATTCATAATAAAAATATATTTTTTGATTTAAAATTATATCTCACTTCTATCATCATACCAAACATATTTCAAAACCCACTTCTATTTTCAATTCTATTTCTATTAGGGGTGTTCAATTTGTCCTGTCCCGGTCAACCCGTCCCGGTCCCGGTGAGTTCGGGATGGGACAGGACAAAAAAAATTTCAGGACAGGAACAGTAACCAGGACTGGACGGGACGGGGTTGTCCGTCCCATCTCGTTCCGGGATTTTTTTTAAAAAAATATTATTAATAATTATTATTAGATTATTTAATTTACTTATTAATAATTATTATTATTTTTATAGTGATTTTTAACTCTTAAGTTGTAGTATTATCTTAACAAAATCTCATTTCTCAATAAAATAATTCAGAAAGACATTATATAGTGTTTTTTTTCCTTATATTTTTTTTACAGTATTATTTTTATATCTTTTTTATACTATATAATTGAGCTTTTTATATAATATTTTTTGTGTGATGTTTTTATCTTTAGAAACCCAATTAAAAATAAGCATTATAACATAAAAAAATTCATATAAAAAATCATTTTTTTAAAAAAGGGGGAAGTGGGACGTCCCTGTCCCGTCCTTGTTCCGCCCCGGTCCCGTCGGGATTGGGACAGAACCGGGACGGGATGAGACACGGGACAAAATCCTTGTCTCATCCCTATTCACCGGAACGGGCCGGTCCTGCTCCTGTCCCGTCCTGTAGACACTCCTAATTTCTAATTCCACTTCCAAATCCACTTCCACTTTTATAAAAACTCTTTTATCATACCAAAAAGGATATAAGTGCCGCCAAAGCTAAAAATTTGAGCGTTTTGAGTTTGTACTGTGGAGAGGAAAAACAAATGAGAACAAAATGACAGATAACAGTATTTAAGTAGATTCCGCGTTGTTCCAATAATTTAATTTTTTTAGCTAGCAATAATTTCTTTAATACAATTGTTTTGAAAAAAGTATTTAGGTTAGGCTGCTTATATCTATTTTTTTGAAAATATTATTATATCAATTTTTTTTTGTCACATATAGTCACGTGTTCTATTTTTTTTATGTGAATTTATAATTTAATACTATTAAGTGCAAATATTTTAAAAATAGAACACATAGACATGTGTGTGACTAGAAAGTTTGACATAATAAAAATAAAAAACTTGATGTAAGTGTTGTTTTTTTTTTTAATAAAGTATTAACTCTTTTTATTTTTATAATTTTTATTTTAATTTATTATTTTTTAAATTTATCAAACCATATATATGAGATATAGGTCATAAAATATAGGAAGAATTATAATAAGGTCCCAAGCAAGGAAAACAATTGAAAAATAAGTCTCAAAAATTGTTATTTTCACTATAGGACTTGTTATTATAAACTGTTGAGGTTGTTATTAAGACATTTTGGTAATTATTTCTTTTTTGTGGGATTTGATTGTAATTCCCCCTAAAATATATAACTTTTTCAGTCATTTTATATATAAATTTATTTTTTATTATTTATTCAAATAACTCTAAATTTATCAAACTGATTTTTATAAAAAAATAATATAAATATAGATCATATTACAGTAACTAATTTTTACAAAATTTAAATGGAATAAAAGTAGTAAAGACGCCCAAACATACAACTGAAAATTAAACCAGACCTAAAATCAACCAATCATGTACTTCCACGTTAAGACAATCTGAATTGTTCCAGAACTCTATGTTTGGGCTAATATCTAATCCGCAGCTCATAATATTAGGGTGTGTTTGGTATGAAGGATTTGGGTGGGAGGTGAGGTGAGGGGAGGGATTTTAATCATTTCCCCTTGTTTGGCAAAACACAAATTTTAGGAGGGGAGGGAAAATTTTTTAAAATTTCCCCTCCCCTCCCCAATCTCTCCTCCAAAATTAGGAGGATTTAGAGGGAAATGGTAATATTTTGTCATATTATGACTATTATGCCCATATTTTGTCATATTATGACTATTATGCCCATATTTTGTCATGTTGTGACCATTATGTCTATATTTTGTCATATTAATGACCATTATACCCACGCCTTAAATAAAATAAGAGTAAAATTGTCCATATTAAAATATTTTTCCCTCCCCTCGCCTCTTTTTTTATAAATCCAAACAAGATAATATTAAAATCCTTCCACTCCCCTCCCCTCTCCTCCCCTTCATTAAAATCTCTCCCCTCCACTTCCTCTCATTGAGCCAAACATATCCTTATTGTGCGGCTCGCTATAAATTTCCCGTTTCAAGGGTTTGGTTGTTTATATTTTTGCAGCGGCATATTTCGGGGTCCCTCTTCAGAGATCTTCGTCTCTCAATCTGCTCTTCCGCCACCTCAACCCCATACCCTAACCATGCCTCGCCGCAGCTCCAGTGGTAACTGGCTGACCTCCAATCAATTTATATTTCATGTTCATCTTCTGGAGATTAATCTATTAGGAATCTATTGGATTAGTTCTTCGATGATATCTAGGGTTTTTTTTTCCAATTTTCCTGTTTCATTATCGAAGGAATCAGGGTTTTAGGGTTTTATGTATTGCGCTTGAAAGGTGTTGTTGTTAATGGACTCTAGACGTTTATGCTATTCTTGAAACGTTAGTTCCGTCATTCCCGAAAATGGGAAATCGTTTACTGTTTAGAGGGATGTATTTTTCTTTAACCCGCTAATTTTAATACGTTGATGCATATGCTCTCTCATTTCTGGTGATGCGTGTGGTGCTTATTGCGTAAGTCGATGATCATTTAAGCAAGATTTTTGTGGAGTGCTGGCAAAAGCGTAGGGTGCCTTTTTATTGAGGATGCTTTGATGCTAATCGGATTTTTATCCTGACTTTGTCATTTGTGGTTATTATGGTTTCAACTCTGAGATCTGTGATGTAGCAAACGGCAATGTTTTCTTAGAACATTTCTTTTATGCCCCGTTTGGTGTCCTGGAACTGAGTCTGAAGAATTGGAAGTGGAAGTGGAATCATGATTTTTGCTTGTTTGGTACCATGGAACCCACTTCCATCAAAAATGATGGAACTCAGTTCTAGGCCCAGCCCGGGGAACTGACTACACTTCCATGGAACCCATTTTATTTTCCCTTTTTACCCTGGCGACAACCTTCATCTGCGACGGCAATGGTGAGGTAACAACATTCACTCGCGGTGGCTACGACCTTCACCTATGACGGTAACGATGCTCATTGGCGACGGTAACAGTGCTCATTCGCGGCAACCTCCAAGCTTGCAAGTGCTTTGATTTTGATTTTAAATTAGAGAAGGATGCAATGAGAAGAAACTTCCAAGTACTTCGATTTCAATTTCATTCTCGAATAGGTGACGACATTCATTGGCGGGATTTTTTTTTTCTTGCTTGAGTTGAAATTAGATCTTGTGGAAAGTTAGATCTAGTTGCGGAGGTCTGGAAATGGTTGTTTCTGGTTCAGGTTCAGCTTGGACCGTGGAAAAATTTTATCATTATCTTCATTGGTTGAACTGGAAAGCGCAAGGAAGAAGAAGACTATTTTTTATTCT